AAAGTCATCCCCTTCGTCTATTCCTCTGTCGATGACTGTGGAAATTCGTGCGCTGTCTGTGCTGCGATTCACGGCGGATTCCTGGTATAACACTGCATGCTACCTTCTTACCATGGTTCTATTGAAAGTTGAGCAGTTCAAACGGGTCAGTTTCGCGGGTTATAAAAGTCTGTCTTCAAGGCTAAGGTTTGCACTAGAGCCCTTTTATACTAAGAGTCAAGACAATATGAATCCATTTCTGATTGGTTCCCGTATTTTAGGCCTTCATAGTGTTACAAACGGGAATAAAGATTACATTTTCACCCATTGCAAAGATTATAATCTGGAATGGACCAGGGATTTACGAGTTTGGCAAGGAACAAACGGTATGAGAGAAGGAACGGAGAGAGGAATTTGAGAATGAGCCGATCAAAGATTACAAAAAACGTTCAATTTCTGTAATCTTTATTCCCGTTTGTCACTCCACGAGGGGGTGTTGTCTTGACTCTCAGTATAAGGGGACTCTAGTTTGCACCTTAGCGGCAATAATGTAAGTTGATAAAGTCCCTTCCTCCATCATTGCTTTCCTTTTGTTTGTTCCCCATCGTGCGTCCACGCAGTAGCGTGGACGTGAAATAAAGTCGACGTAAAATAAAAATGTGACGAGAAATAAAGGTGATACCATGGTCTGAATCGGATTTTTTTGCACTTCCGTCAGCGTAATTTTGATCGCCTTACGCCGTTTCCAAAAGCCTCTCTCCCTTTACTGCTGGCAACACAATTTATGAATTAAGCGTCTTTATGACAACAGTTTTATATGATTTTAGTACATAAAATGTCAAAGCTAAAAAACTACCCGCAGAATCTTACAGGTAAAGTTCGGAAAGGGCAAACCCCAAAAGCGGATCTTGGACTCTGTAAGTAGTGTTTCCTTTGCTTACATGGACACCGCGCCATGTCCTTAGTTCTTAGGTCGGTGCTCCACTTTACAAATTGTGCAATCATTCAAAATTTAATATTTCTGGCCGTTTGCAACACCGTGGGAGCTGATCAGAGACGGAAATACGGGATCCATCTCTGCACATACGGAGAAAAATCTATGGCTTTATAAACTATATTAGTGGTTCATATGGAACACCACTAATAGTCGTAAATGAACTAATGATTCTCGGTCTGCGAACCACACTTAGGCAGGGCCGGATTAAGGGGGTGGCCACATGGGCCGTGGCCCATAGCGGCAAATCTAAGGGGCGGCAAAAATTTGCAATTTTTGAAAGTGCAGGTATAAAAAAAAATCGGATTTATAAAAACAAAATTATAAACGAGAAAAGGCGACAAAATCTCTCATTTCCTGAGAGTATAGTAATTAATTTTGTCGTCTCTTAGTGATACAAGAGACAGCACCCTCAATAAGTCGAGTTACGAGAGAAACCAAACAGACAATTTGGCCTAGAACGGCGCGACTTAGAGAGAAATGATAACGAGGATTTGAGATGAAATGGAGAAGCCCTCGGGGCTGCGATCGGCATGTAACACATATTAGCGCCTACAAGACTGCACGAATACTTCACGCATTGCATCAGACACAGTGCGGTCATTGCGGTCAGCGTGAAACGGAGAGCGCCTACAAGAATGCATGAATACTTCACGCATTGCGTCAAACACAGTGCGGTCAGCGTGAAACGCAAAGCGCCTACAAGACTGCGTGAATACTTCACGCATTGCGTCCAACACGGTGCGGTCTGCGCGGCGCGGCGGCGGAAGTTAAAATCATCGAACCACATTTATGTTTGTTCTTTCGTAATTTTTTCGTTCATTTCTTATGAATGGAAGGCCTTGTCCACACAGAGGTAGGTTTACGAAACTTAACTTTCGCGCAAAGTTTCGTGAACTTTTGCTAGTAGTGTTGACGGGGCTTTCCCAAAAAATGTGTTCAACACGAGTAAATGCGTCTTATGCACCTCTCCACCACTGGCACGTTCATTTGATGGTTTTTATCTAGTTTCAAAACGAATGAGAAGGGGGCGGCAAAATATAGGCGGCCCATGGGCGGCAAGTAGGTGAATCCGGCCCTGCACTTAGGTATCTCGTACCATACCAAGGTGTGTATACCGTCACTGAGGTGCGTGTATACCACCACTAAGGTAAATGTGCTATTATTAAATGCTGCCTTTACTACTATTAGTAGTGCTCCATATAAACCACTGATTGGTTCATAAGCCATAGCTTTTTCTCAGTGAGAGAGACTCTAGAAGTAACCTATATTATTGATTCATAATCGATGCACTGGGTGTAGATGCAGAGAGAGCAGTTCTTGGTTGCTGTGTCTCGGAATTTCACCCAACGTTTCATCCATTATAATTATAACAAATGCATGGAATTCGTTGAGACTTTTGCTGGATTTTCTTTATGATTTTAAAATGCTGAAAACAAAAAAATGCAGAAAATTCACCCAATATTCACCTCTCTAAAATATAAATTAGAAGTGGAGGTTCTAAAACACCGCAACCAAGAAATGCCCTTTCTGCACCGCACCCAACGTCTCAATCACATTGACTGACCCTCGCGGTGGAGGAAAAGAAGGCAAATAACACGAAAACGAGGGAATTCAATTTAGGCGATTGAGCTTAATAAAATTCAAAATCAGTTAGAGCCGAGTTAATATTTATCATATAATTAAGGAAACAATTATCAGGGTAGAAGAAGTCAAAATGAAGGCTTCGCAGAGCCGAGAGGGGTGCAGGAGCGAGAACCCGCGACACTCGGAGGGGGTGTCGGGGGCCAAATAGGTTTTTGATTGTTCACAGTTCAAACGCGTTCCGTAATTACCCGAAACACGCACCAACATCAGTGGCGTGGCGTGAATTGCGATGTATCGATTGCTATGCCATTTAAACCTATGGTAAAGAATCTATTATTAAGGTGTTCGCTGCGAACACCCTGTTTATCGATCCTTTTCCATAGGTTTAAATGGCATAACAATCGATATATCGCAAAGCACGCCACGCCACTGGCACCAACATCGGAGGAAACACCTCCTGCCCCGGTGGGTTTTTCGAGACCGGCAGCAGCGTGGACCCGGCGGGGGCGAGTG